TAAGCTTTGAGTACTGATGAAAGGCACATTGAGTGGACATCTTAGCAACCATACGACAAAAAATTGAAAAAATTATTTGAAATATTTTTGATGACTTTCAGTTATTTGCAACGAGAATTCCGTGTTATACGAGACATGGAGAACAACGAATTTATTTGCTACATGCCTTTTTTAAAATCTGCCTCAGATTTAATGTTTTAGCGAAAATGTTATTGGTAAACTTATTATGAAATTTGTGTTGAAATGTAAAAAATTATTAAAAAGTAATTTACGTAAGTCTTAGACCTTGTAAGGTTCTTGGTCTCTTCCTGTTTGCCCAACTCATAGAAAACTTTATTTACCTTCTACTCAATGTCTTTTGGTACACTTTGCTAAAAACTAGTTTATCATAACGTGACAAGAATACTTTCTGCTTTCGCCCCCCAGTGGCACAGCGGTATGTCTACGGACTTACAACGCTAGAATCTGGATTTCGATACCCGTGGTGGGCAGAGCACAGATAGCCCATTCTGTAGCTTTGTGCGTAACGTCAAACAAACAAACAATTCATGAGCTGTTTAGCTCGGATGCATTAAAATACAAAAATACTATCAGTACTTCATCAGACTATAGTTGTAATTAAATATTTAGGTGTGAAAAAATGGTGCGGCAAAAAAAAGGACTGAGCTTGCGACTTTAAGGAATGAAATCAAAATTTTCGGCTAAATTGGTAGCTTCATATAGGATAAGAATTTTACAGCAAATATTCATTCATTAGCTAGGTCGCGTTTTTTTTTTTTCAACTTGGAGCACGATGATAGGTAAAACAAAATACGCTGTCCAGCTAAGTAAAGAATGAATATTTGCTGTAAAATTCTTATCAGTGCTATAAGTGTAGCTCTTTCCTTTGAGTTGTATGCTCAGACCTTTTTCTGGCCGCGTCTTTTTTTTCGCATCTAAGGTGTTTTTCATTAGATATTTTGTCTTTTTATCAATGCACACTAACAAACTACAGCAAGTAAGAAAGTGGCAACATTAGATCTAGGCTCCCAACCATATTATTCGGAACAGACCTATACTTTACATAATCAAACAAATGCTTTAAATATATGATGCTAGTTTTATTTGTACGACAATGGCATTATCTTGATTAGCTAAAGCCAAACTGATTAATAAGGTACAATTGCCCTCCTAGTCTGAGTCCTCCGCCATCTTTTAGCATTAGGAAAAAGACTTATCATATAGCTTAAGAGTGAATTGCATAAGCTATGTGTAAATAGCAGAGTAATCATGGAAGATTGTAATCCGA